ATTTATTTATTATTTATTTGGTTGCACTGGATCTTAGTCATGGCGGGCAGGCTCCTTAGTTGCGGCATGTGGTCTCCTTTGTTGTGGCATATGAACTCTTAGTTGCAGCATATGGGATCTAGTTCCCTGACCAGGGATCAAACCCGGGCCTCCTGCATTGGGAGAGTGGAGTCTTAACCACTGCGCCACCAGGGAAGTCCCTGGTCAGTTGATTTTCAATAAAGCTGCCGAGGTAATTCAATGGGGAAAAGAGTAGTCTTTTTTATTTTTTCTTCCAGTTTATTGAAATATAATTGACATACAGCACTGTATAGGTTTAAGGTGTACAGGATAATGATCTGACTTACACACATCAGGAAATGAATACCACAGTGAGATTAGTGAATAGCCATTATCCTATATAAAATTAAAGAAATAGGGAAAAACATTTTTCCTTGTGATGAAAAACCAAAGGTTTGAAAAATATCAGGATGGTGGTTGCCTACCATGGAAAAGGGCGGGGGGGGGGGGGGTTCCCTGGTGGCGCGGTGGTTGAGAGTCCGCCTGCCGATGCAGGGGACGCGGGTTCGTGCCCCGGACCGGGAGGATCCCACATGCTGCAGAGCGGCAGGGCCCGTGAGCCATGGCCACTCAGCCTGCGCGTCCGGAGCCTGTGCTCTGCCACGGGAGAGGTCACAGCAGTGAGAGGCCCGCATACCGCTAAAAAAAAAAAAAAAAAAAAAAAAAAAAAAGGGGGCGGGGGGGGACTTCCCTGGTGGCGCAGTGGATGAGAGTCCGCCTGCCGATGCAGGGGACACGGGTTCGTGCCCCGGTCTGGGACGATCCCACATGCCGCGGAACGGCTGGACCCGTGAGCCATGGCCACTGAGCCTGCGCGTCCGGAGCCTGTGCTCCGCAACGGGAGGGGCCACAACAGTGAGAGGCCCGCGTACCGCAAAAGAAAAAGGAAAGGGCAGGGGGGAATTTTGTGGGGTGATAGAAATGTTCTATCTCAATAAGGGAGTCAGTTACACTGGTGTATGCATTTGTCAAAATCCTTGGACCTCTAATACATAAGCTATGCATGTAGGCTTTACGTAAACTACACCTCAATAAAAATTACTAACAAACTGCTACCCCAAAATCTTCCGTATATGTGGAAACGTAAAATAATATATATATGCAGAAATGTAAAATAATTCATAATGAAATAGATTATTTGGAATTGACAACGAAAGCACTACTTATCTTAGACGTAAACAAGGCAATCAATGTTTAAAGGGAAATGTATCATCTTAAATGCACACGTGAGAAAACGTGAAAGACTGAAAGTTAATTAGCTAAGGAGTCACCTCTAGGTGTTAGAACAGAGTAAACCCCTTTATTACTTAAAAAAAAAGGCAGTAAGAATTTACATCTGCTTCTACTAGGTACCTAGGCAAGCTACCAGTCTGAGATCACTTTGCTTCTGAAGCTTAAGGCTGTGGGCTCCCCAACCTGGGCTACAGATCCCTGTAAGGCAGGGTTACTGCTACAGTGTCTCAGGTAAGCCTCCCACATCCCAGCACTATTCTGTATCGAGTTAACCTTCCTTATAACCCCCTGCTATGGTTGGGACAGGCAAATCTAACTTTGCTGCCTCTTACCCTGAGGACATAGCCTTTGGGTCCCGGTTTTAAGGGACAATGGCTTCCTATTATATTCCCAACTTTGTACAGACCCTGGTCTTTACCTTCTTCCATGTATTATGAGGCCATCAGCTGAGCTCCAGTTCACCAGGTTGGCAAATGCCTCTAGCGCTCTTCTTACTTTCCCTCAGATTTTAATTCCTTATTTATAGTGATGATAACTCTTTTATTTGCAGCAAATCTTTACTATCTTGTCAGCTCTTCGATGATTTACTCAGATAGTGTTCTTTTTTAAGTTTTTATTTCTTTAATGTTGTATCTATTTTATTTATTTTTGGCTGCATTGGGTCTTCATTGCTGCGCATGGGCTTTCTCTAGTTGTGGCGAGCGGGGGCTACTCTTTGTTGCAGTGCACGGGCTTCTCACTGCGGTGGCTTCTCTTGTTGCGGAGCACGGGCTCCAGGCACGTCGGCTTCAGTAGCTGTGGCATGCGGACTCAGCAGTTGTGGCGCACGGGCTTAGTTGCTCCGAGGCCTGTGGGATCTTCCCAGACCAGGGCTCGAACCCGTGTCCCCTGCTTTGGCAGGCAGATTCTCAACCACTGCACTCCCAGGGAAGCCCCAGATAGTGCTTTCATTTTATCCAGCATTTTAGTTGTTTTCAGGGGAAGACCTGATCCCAATCACGCATCTGGCTATATTCTCAAACCAGGGAGGCACTCAGAAAAGCAGAAGTACAAAGAAAACTATAGATAATTTTAAGTGCCAGCATGACGAACCTGCATGATAAAAGATACCATGCGGGAATTCCCTGGCGGTCCAGTGATGAGGGCTCAGCGCTTTCACTGACGAGGGCGCGGGTTCAATCTCTGGTCGGGGAGCTAAGGTCCTGCAAGCCACATGGCATGGACCAAAAACAAAAAAAAGACACCAAAAACAAGGTGAAAAGATACAGCACAGCCCAGAATATACATACTTTAACATAGGTAATAGGCTTAAAGATTATAATTCAGAATTTATAAAGAACTCATCCACTTCAACATGGAAAAGACAAACCACCCCGAAGAGGCAAAGGAGACTCACTGAAAAGGAAATCTGAGTGGCCAATAAACATATAAAAGATGTCCACCTTACTGTCGACTGGGTGTGCTAGACATCTGTCATTTTTTGACCATTCCGCCCCATGTTTGGGGAATCCTCTCCTTTGAGACTGTCCTACCACATGTGGGTAAACTGTCAGACACCCAGCCGCGCTGACGTGAAGCGGGGCCCTGACGCCGAGCGGCCTGCACGATGGTGGTAGCCCACGGCAGCTGCAGCGCCTGCCTCACACAGCGAAGGGGGTGGAGGCTGGGGGCTTCCACCAGCACCCAGGGCTGCTGTCAGTGGTGCTGGGGTGCCAGCTCCGACGTCTGGGACCCCGCGTTGTCTTCATGCTGTCGTCACTGCCAGCTCCTGGCCTGATCTGCACACTTCTGTCTGCTCAGCTTTAAGCCTGGTTTCCCAGCCCTCCTGGAGACTTTAGCTGCTTTTAATAATTTCCTTTTCTGCTTAAATCAGAAATCTACTTATATCAGGGAAATGCAAGTTCAAACAACAGTGAGATAGATACTCCTTCATGCACAGGAGATGAAAAGAAACAGAAATACCCCTACACTGCTGGAGGGAGTGCAAACTGATGTAGATGCTTTGGAGGACAATTTGTTAATGTCTAATAAGTTGGAATGCAGACACCTTAGGACTCTGAGATTCCTCTTCTGGTCATATCCTCTAAACTATCGCTGGGGGTGACAAATGCAAGCCTCTTCATTGCAGAACACACACACACACACACACACACACCCCTCCTTTGAGATCCACGTGGAATGAATGATAAATTGCAGTATATTCATACAACGCATGAACTAGAGCTGTATGTACCAAGATGGATAGGTCTTAAAAATATCATTTGGGGTGAAAAGGGATGTTGCAGAAGGATATGCATAGCATACCACTGGTGTACATTTAAAGACATAACACACAACAGAAAAGAGGATGGGTAAAATAGGAAATCTGAATAAAATAGGTGAACTGTACCAACGGCTACATCCTGGCTGTGATATTATACCAGTTTTGCATCATTAGGAGAAACTGGGCAAAGTGTTTTAGTTCTTACAACTGCATGTGAATCCACAATTAAATCAATAACAATTGCATTAAAAGATACCAAACAATGTATGTATTACTTATAGATAGATATGTGATGGCTTCTTCGGGGTGGGGAGGGGGGAGATGAAATTTAGGAGAGACAGAGAGGGGACTTCAAATCTTTTTTTTGTTCCTTAGAAAGAAAAATCTTTTTTTTAAGATAAATCAATTTATTTTTTATTTTATTATTTGTTTTTTGACCGCACCAGGCGGCATGTGGGATTTTAGTTCCCCGACCAGGGATCAAACTTGAGTCCCCTGCATTGGTGGTCTTAACCACTGGACCGCCAGGGAAGTCCCAGAAAGAAAACTCTTGAGGCAAATATGGCAAAATGTTAACATTTAAAAATCTGGATGTAGGTGAACGGGTGTTTATATACTACTCTGTACTTTTCTTTGAGTTAAAAAATGCTGAAAAGATTAAATGAGACAAATTTACAAAGTATTTAAGGTAGTGCCTGGCTTGTAGTAGGCACTCTTGATAATTACTGATACCACGAGTCAAGGAGGGGAAGGTTTGTCATAGCTCCAGAGAAGTATCCTTTTCTCAGCTCATCCCCCAGTTCTTCCCTCCTGCTCAGGGTTACGGCATCACAAACTCCACTTTCCAATTCTTATCACCCTCTTCTCAAAGGACCCCAGTGAAAGAATCCACCTCAAAAAAAGGGAGATGGCCCAACACAGTTTAGTGGAGCACGGCCTCTGAGGCCAGGAGGCTGGCTGGACCGCCTCCACCCCGGTGGGGATACCAGCATCCCTGCCTCGGGGGTTGTCCTGGGGACTAAGTGAGCACTTGCTACAGGGCCTGGCAGCTGGGCTCAGTTACCGCAGGACCGGCCAGGACCAAGGCCGACACGCTGCCCGCTCCATGGACCCCACGATCTTGTTTCAAAGTCAGGGTTCCTGACCTAGTTCACAGCTAGGAAGCAGCTCAGAGAAGACGGATAACTCGCCCAAGGTCTCGTGGAGCTGAACACGGACTCTGACTCCTGGCTGCGCCCCCATTGGAAGATTAGCCTTGGTGAAGGCGGAGGTAGGCTCTGTCAAGAGATTTGGGGGATCTGGGCCATATGTGACCCTTCGACTCCATCTTTCAGCCCCGTTCAGATACAATACCCTGGAGAAATGACTGCGAAACTCACCTGAGAGAAAAGTGCTTCCTGGGTTTCCCACGAGGTTAGCAACTGAAAAAGGAAACCCCCATTACCTGGACAGAAAAGGGTGGGCCGAGAGCGCCACCTGCAGGCGACTCGTCTCTCCGCCGACTCGAGTTCTTCCCGCGATCCCGACAAATCGCCTCGCCCCTCCAGCGGGAGCATCAACCTCCCCACCCCTCCCCACGCAGCGCCTCCTTCTGGCTTCCCAGGTCTCAGCTCAGACGTGTCCTCTTCATAGGGCCCTCCGCCTGGGGCTGCCTTCATTCTGCCCCGTCAGCTTCTGTAACAATAAATGCCCTTATATCCCCCACTGCCACGCAACCACTACCCATCTGTCCACTGTCCGTCTCCCCAGCCAGAGTGGCAGCTCCGTGCGGGCAGGGAGGGACCTTAACTCAGCAACTCGGGCAGGCCTGCCTCTCGATGAATACTTACTGAATTCACTGCATACAATGTGGTATATATTTTTCCAGTACCTATACTAATGCTTACTTATTTCATATTTGAACAAACAAAAATGGGATGTATTGCACATATGATTTTGCTACTTGATGTTCTCCTTTAACAAACGTGCCTTTGACTGAATCTGAAACCCTTATGAGAGGGCGGTCTGCTAACCAGCCCAGCTCCACTCATGCATCCATCCATCCTATTTAGGGAGCACGTACCCCCTCGCCATCCAGCACAGCACACACCAGCCACAGGTAGCTAGTATAACTGGGGAACTGAAGTTTTCATTTTATTTCCTTTAAATCGATTTAAATTTAAAAGCCATACTCATTCAGCTATTGGAAACCTTTCAAGTATGTTTGGAACGATCTGGGTATATAAATCTACCTTTTCAACTGTAAATTTTATGAAATCAAAATACAGATCAACTATTTCGATGAAAATTTAGTGATTGAATTGAGAAATGCAGTAAGTAAGGTACGTGTTGGACTGCCAGGACTTCAAATGAAAAAAAAGAATGTAAAAATACCTCAATGATTTTAATATTAGTTATATGTTAAAGTAATACTATCTGAACACGTTGGGCTAAATGAAATACAGTATTAAAGTTGATTTTACCTATTTTTTTATGCTTCCAAGGTGGTCACTAGACAGTTCTAAAATTATAATACATATATGGCTCACATTGTATTTTTATTGGACAATGTGCTGGGATCTACTCTGTTCTGGGAGTGAGACAGGCCATCACTCAAAATCAAACTTCACGAAAAGGTCAACGTTAACACAAGGAGTTCTCTACATCTATGCCCAGCCAAGGTATCACAGCCTTTATTTATTAACTTATTAATTCGTTCATTTATTCAAGCATTTGTTCTTTCGGCAGACATATCCAAATGCCATGTCAAGCCCTAGAGCTCCTAGAAAAAAATTGCTTGCTTGTTCCCAGTCTTCCCCGAGTTTAGGAGGTTTTCCCATCTTTTTTGTTGACTGGCGTTAACATTTTACCTGACATGCTTCATCACTTGTAATCCTTATTTATACATTTGAGAGTAAGTTGCAAGCATCCCAGCCTTTTACCTCGAAATACTTCTGGATGTAGGATGATTTATTTATTTACTTAGCTGCTCCAGATCTTAGTTGTGGCATGCATGATCTTTAGTTACGGCATGTGGGATCTTAGCTGAGGAATGCGGGATCTAGTTCCCTGACCAGGGATCAAAAGCGGGCCCCCTGCATTGCAAGCTCGGAGTCTTAACCACTGGCCCACCAGGGAAGTCCCAGGGATGTTCTTTTATATCACCTAGTACAGCTATCAGCTTCAGCAAATTTAACCCTGATAATATATCTGATCTAATCTACTGTTCATATTCCAATGTTGTCAGTTTCACCCATCGACTCAATAATGTCCTTCAAAGCATGTTTCCCTCCAGTACAGGACCCAGCCAAGATCAGGCACTGGAATTAGCTGTCCTGTCTCTCCAATCCCCGAGTCCCTTTGAATCAGGTATTTCTTTCCCATTTTACAGGTGAGTAAACTGTGGCATAGAGATCCATCCATCCCAGGCATTCACGGGTTAGTAGCCCAGCTGCTGTGACGCGTCCTGGCCAGCCTCTGGACTCTGACCGTCCAGAACTGAGCCACAGCCTCTTAACAACGGTATCACGATAAGAATTTCAAATTTACACGCAGCGATGGTAGAAACTTTCTTCTGGAGTCTCCACAGAAAAAAGCTGACCTGGTTACATACCTATCATTGGAAAAAATTTCCCAGCATCTTGTAAAGTTGAAGAGGCCCCTACCCTGGAACCATCCAGTCCAGTCCTAGGTATGTCACTCAGTCTTCAGATAAACTCCTGCACAGGTGTAAGAATGTTCTTAGCAGCACTGTGTGCAACACCGAAAACCTGAAACAACTCACATTTCCACCGACCATTAAAGGATAAAGAAACTAGAATGTAGTCTACAATGGAATGCTATTCAGCAGAGAAAATAATCACCTGTAGCTTTGTACATGAAAATGAATTAATCTCATAAACATAATGGGAAAAGAGTGCAAATTCCAGAATCATACATACAAATAAGATTGACAAACATGCATTATGTTGTTTGGCAACATATATATTAATATATATATATATATACTAAATGTGTATTTTTATATTATATATGTACTAAATATATATGTTTACCATGACTGTTTTTCTTTATAGATTTATAATTTTACTATATATAGTATTTATTCCATATATAAAATATATAATTTATATATACAAATTTTGTATAACATAAAATATATATTCACTATAGTGTTTTATCTATATTTTCTGTATATTTTACTCTATAGTTTACTATATATTTATATATACTATATATTTACTATATATAGTATTTTATCTATATATATTTTATAACCGTATCTTGAATACTACAAATATTATAATAGACATACAAAATATATTATTTATATGATAATTTTCTTATTTATATAATAAATACTATATAAAATATTTTCTATATATAGTAAAATTACACATCTATAAAGAAAGACAAGGGCATGAGAAACATAAAATTTATTGCCATTTCTACACAGTTTCAAAATGTTTTAACAATTAGAATCATACCTGTGTGGAATCCCCCAAAGTCAGGCCGCCTGTGGAATTCTAGCACCCTGAGGACCACGGTTTGAGAACCATGGGGCTGGCAGCCATCTAAGATTCTGTCCACTGAGGTTCTGTTCCTTCTAACTCGATAGAAAAATCACAAAGAAAATGCACATCTATTCTAAAACCCCAGCTTCTCTCCAAAATGTATACACACACCAAGCAATTCTGCAAACAGAACCCTGGACGGCGCCCTGCTGTTTCTCAATTCTCCCTCCTAAATCACTTGCTTTGTTTTCGTTTATTTTCTTTTCCCACCATTTAGGTTCCTCCTCCCCCAAATCTGCAGTGCCTGGGTTGGGGAAAGAGGAGAGGCTGACCTGCAAAGAGGCGTGAGGAAACTTTGGGACCATGACATGCTGAGTCCTGACCGACCACGGGGCCATGGTTTCCTGGACGCAACTGTGTATCTGTCAAAGCTCCTGCAAGCTGTTTGCAGATACGGGGTCCGGAGCCCAGCATGCAGCATGTCCTCATAACCTGGGGTCCCCACCTTGCAGCACTTCAAACACAGCAGTGGGGCTGCCATCCACACAAGACCAACAGGAAGACCTCTCCCTGACTCGCCTGCCTTTTTGATTTGTCTCCTTTCCACCTCATGTTAGAGGAACACGGCATCATTTCCCACATGGACAGCTGACGAGAATAAGCTACGATGGGTGCCGTTCTGCGTTTTCCCCAATACCTCCCTGTCTGTGTTCCTCCGATTTCCTCGGGTCCGCCTTCCACAGCCACGGCCAGGAGCAGGCGTGCCTCTCACCCAAACCCCACAACCACACAAGAGCAGGCTGGCTGGATAAGTGTAGGCGAAATCAGGCCGTCAGAGCTACGAACGAATGCCATGTCCTGGGCACTCACGATGTGCAAATGTCTCAGTTCTTCCTTTTTCTAAATCACGATAAAGCTGGTAACAAGCCTCCACTCACTGGCTAAGATGAAATGCAATTTTACATTTTCGGGGCTCTTTGTTTGTTTGTTTTTTCAAGGGCGGTCCTTCAGGCTGTTAAGTTTAGGCCACAGTGCTGGCAAACCCACCCAGGCTGGCCCCTGGCTGGGAGGTGAGGTGAGGAGGCTGGGCCTCTGCTCACACCATTACCAGTCAGTCCACTCCAGCCCAGCAGGGTTCCCGAGACTCTACGCAGGCTGCTAGGCTGCAACAAAGCTGCCCAACGCCCATGAGCCACCCCTCTGGAGAGCCTTCCACCCTGAGACCGCCAAGCGCCAGCCTAGGTCTCTGCTGCCTCATCCACTGCCCTCCAGGCTCAGAGACTGGGCACTCCCAGGTCTGAGCCTCATTCTAAAAACCAGGAGTGAGAGGACAGACAGCAGAAGCAAGAAGAACTACAATCCTGCAGCCTGTGGAACAAAAACCACATTCACAGAAAGACACACAAGATGAAAAGGCAGAGGGCTATGTACCAGATGAAGGAACAAGATAAAACCCCAGAAAAGCAACTAACTGAAGTAGAGATAGGCAACCTTCTAGAAAAAGAATTCAGAATAATGATAGTGAAGATGATCCAGGACCTTAGAAAAAGAATGGGGGCAAAGATCGAGAAGATGCAAGAAATGTTTAACAAAGACCTAGAAAAATTAAAGAACAAACAAACAGAGATGAACAATACAATAACTGAAATGAAACCTACACTAGAGGGAATCAATAGCAGAATAACTGAGGCAGAAGAACGGATAAGTGACCTGGAAGACAGAATGGTGCAATTCACTGCTGCAGAACAGAATAAAGAAAAAAGAATGAAAAGAAATGAAGACAGCCTAAGAGACCTCTGGGACAACGTTAAACGCAACACCATTTGCATTACAGGGGTCCCAGAAGGAGAAGAGAGAGAGAAAGGACCCGAGAAAATATCTGAAGAGATTAGAGTTGAAAACTTCCCTAACATGGGAAAGGAAATAGCCACCCAAGTCCAGGAAGTGCAGAGAGTCCCATACAGGATAAACCCAAGGAGAAACATGCCGAGACACATAGTAATCAAATTGGCAAAAATTAAAGACAATGAAAAATTATTGAAAGCAGCAAGGGAAAAACGACAAATAACATACAAGGGAACTCCCATAAGGTTAATAGCTGATTTCTCAGCAGAAACTCTACAAGCCAGAAGGAAGTAGCATGATATACTTAAAGTGATGAAAGGGAAGAACTTACAACCA